ACCATTCTGTGATTCTGTGTGATTCTCTGATTGTTTGACTCTTTTGCAGCCCCCTGATGTTGAACGACAGCAGTTCAGCACATTCCATGCCGAAATACAGCCGCCAGTACTCCTTGGAGCACGTCCACGGCTCATCCCCCTACGCAGTAAGTACCGCCGTGCACGCCTGGCCTTGGAGAGGACGGCGAGGACGCGGCTCCGTGCGCAGGGACCCCCTCGAGGCTCCTCTCCAGCTGCTCTTGCCTGTGTGAACCCCTTTGTTTTCTTTGGCAAAGGACTCGGAGGTGGCAGCTGCCTTCGAGCCGAGCCAGCGGGGAGAGAGCCGGTGGCTGGTGCTGCTCGGCGGTGCTTGGGATGGCACCGAGCGTCCGGCTCGCCGGGCGAGCGAGGAGTTACCGGATTCCACCGAAAGCAGAGCTGGGCTGAGGTGGTGCCTTCTTGCTTTGCTTACATCTCCTGGCTCAGTCTGTCACAAAACACCTCTGGTGCCGGTCAGCCCCCACTAAACATTTGCTCATTATCGCCTAATTAATGCGTGACCGTGTATAATTAGCATTAATCCCTCCGAAGAAGCCTGCTTTCGGTCGGGGAAGGGGCCGTAGCTCAGAGCCTGGCTGCGACACGCGCCTGAAGTAGCAGAGATCCAAGTGATGGGAGCTGAGCTGTGTCCGTGGAGCGAGGGGCAAGGTGGGAAGAGCAGCACAAAGCCAGCTGGTGCTTGTGCTGGGAGTAATCCCCCGGGTGAGTAAGGCTGGGGGGCACTACAGCCGTGAGATGAGAGAGCAGGCGGTGGCTGTGGAGGTGAAGGCATCTCCTGCAGGATGTCATCAGCGCGTGGTCCAGAAGAAACGAGGCCGTAGTTGGGTGTGGGCATTGTCCCTCAGTCAGTTGGCAGATGACACCGAGCTGGGTGGGAGCATCGATCTGCTCGAGGGTGGAAGGCTCTGCAGAGGGGTCTGGACAGGCTGGATCCATGGGCTGAGGGCAACTGTGTGAGGTTCAACCAGGCCAAGTGCCGGGTCCTGCCCTTGGGTCACACCAACCCCACGCAACGCTCCAGGCTTGGGGAGGAGCGGCTGGAGAGCCCCAGCCTGTCCTGGTGCCTGGGGTTGTTCCTCCCCATGAGGAGCAGCTGAGGGAGCTGGGGCTGCTCAGGCTGGAGCAGAGGAGGCTGAGGGGAGACCTTCTCGCTCTCTGCAGCTCCCTGAGAGGAGGGGGCAGGGAGGGGGGGTTGGGCTCTGCTCCCCAGGAACCAGCGCCAGGACGAGAGGCGATGGCCTCGAGCTGCGTCAGGGGAGGTTCAGATGGGACATGGGGACAAATGTCTTTCCTGGGAGAGCGGTCGGGCGTTGGAGCAGCTGCCCAGGGCAGTGGGGGAGTCCCCATCCCTGGAGGGGTTCAAAACCCGTCTGGATGTGGCCCTTGGGGACATGGTTTAGCAGGTATGGGGGTGTTGGGGTGATGGTTGAACTTGATGATCTAGCAGGTATGGGGGTGTTGGGGTGATGGTTGAACTTGATGGTCCAGCAGGCATGGGGGGGTTGGGTTGGCCGTTGGACTTGGTGACCTTGGAGGTCTTTCCCACCCTGAATGATTCTGGGGTTCTGTGGGAGCCTGGCCGTGTTACGGTGGGTGAAGGCCGCGTAGTCACCCAGCTCCTGGCCCCAGGCTGCACCTCAGCGTGATGCCGCGTTGCGTTAGGAGTCTGCAACCGTGTGCTCCGGGCTGTCCGTCCGATTGCTGTCAGCTCCCGACGAATCCCAAGGGTCTGTCCACGCTCTCCCATCCTTTCGGAGAACTTCTTGGTGTGCTGCTTCCCCTGACTGTTCGATGGCCGGTGAGCACGAGGAGTCTCTTCCAAACCCTGGCCATGAATCCTCGCTCAGACGAGCCGCAGATTTATGTGTGTTGAGTCTGCTCGGCCTCGAAAGCTGGAGGAGGGGAGTGGGGTCGCTTACACCGCGCTTTGCCTCTCGACCTGGTATCCTGCACGCGAATCTCCTTGTCGTGACAAGGCCTCCTCTGGAGTACTCTGTCCAGTTCTGGGCTCCCCAGTTCAAGAAAGATGAGGAGCTACTGGAGAGAGTCCAGTTCTGGGCTCCCCAGTTCAAGAAAGATGAGGAGCTACTGGAGAGGGTCCAGTTCTGGGCTCTCCAGTTCAAGAAAGGTGAGG